AAAACAGAACTACCATATAATCTAACAAACTCACTACAGAGTATATATCCAAAGGAAATAAAGTTAGTATGTTGAAAAGAACTGCACTGTCACATTCATTGCTGGGCTATTCATAATACCCAAGATATGGAATCAACCTGTGTGTCCATAAATGGATAAAGAAAATGTGGTATATATATATATAAAATGGAATACCATTCAGTCTCAAAAAAAGGAAATCCTATCATTTGAGACATGGATGAACTTAAAGGATATTATGCTGTGAAATAAACCAGGCACAGAAAGACAAATACCACACAATGTGCCATATAGAGAGTAAAAGGGAGTTATCAGAAATGAATAGGGTGCATGTAAGACTTGGGAAGATGTTGATTAGATATGGTCAGTTAGACAAAAGAAATAAATTGTAAAGATCTACTGTACATCATAACTATAGTTAATAACAATATATTGCATATACGGAATCTGTTAAAAGTAAAATTTAAATGTTCTTATCACAAAGAATAACATATGATGTATATATGTTAAATTCTTAAAGTCATTCTACAATGATATGTATATCAAATCATGGTGGTATACCATATATACACACAATTTTTGTCAACTGAAGTAAATAAAAGGCTGGATGTCCCTCAGTGGTAGAGTACCTGCTTAGCATATGTAAAACCTTGGGTCAATCCCCAGCACCACAGAAACTAAACAATAACTGTTTTGACTTATTATTTTTTATTGACCCTGACCTCATACATGCTAGGCAAACATTCCAGTGCTACATCCCTAGCCCTTTTTATTTTCTGAGACAAGGTCTCACTAAATTGCCTAGGCTGGCCTCCAACTTTCCATCCTCCTTCCTCAGCCTTCTGAATAGCTGGCATTACAGATACGCGCCATCACAGCACCTGGCTTTTAAATAAAAGTCAATTGGCCATATATATCCAGGTCCATCTCTGCTGTATTTACCTATATATTTACATCAATACTGTACTGTCTTGATTACTATAGTTTTGTAAAAAATCTTGAAATCAGGTAGTTTTAGTTCTCTGTTCTTTTTTCATTTTTTTAACTCTTTACTATATGACTATTCTAGATCTTATGCATTTTAATATAATTTTCTAAAACCTGCTCACCTATTTCTACAATAAACCCAAGTGGTGGGGCGAGGGGGAAATGATGGCATAAATACCATGACAGAACAAGACGGTACAGTGTAGCCACACAAAAGAAAAAGGAGACGATTTCTCAAAACTACAGCGTGGACACAGGGACTTAATATATTTAAAAACTTAATGATTAAAGTCATTTTTAATCTTTTATTATGCAAGGTCACATGTGCTCAGGTGAGTCAAAAGCTAGATGTCTAAGAGTTTATTCCAGATACACCCTTTCCTCCCCTTCCTTCTTGAAATAGCTCCCCTTTTCCACAAGGTGAGCTTTCCTCAACAGTTCAGAATCCCTAACACTCTCTTACACTACAAAAACTATTGGTTTAATTTACATTTTAACAACAACAAAAAAAAACTTTAATGTAGTTTAAGAATGCGCAACCTCTCCAAAGAGAAAAATTAATACTCTAAAACACAGTATGGGGAAGGTTTTTCTAAAAAGTACAAGCTTTATAAATCAAATTCATCTAGATTCCAATCCCAAGTGCACGAGTAGTTTCACTGCTTGTTAACTGTATAATCTTGGACTTAATACAGGACTTTAATTCAGTTCTTCATGTATGTAATGGAAACACTGTTATGAGATCTGTGACATAATTAAATGAGGCTTAAAAAAAAAGTCTACTTGGTCTTCTATTTTCTTACTAGTTCAAGTTAGTCTACTTAGTCTTCCTTTTTCTTAACAGTTCTCTCCCCTCACTTCTAATCAAATTTAACGTTCATCTATTCTAACAGTGAAAAATGAGAGGAAGAAAGAAAAAAATTAGCCAAAGGAAATTTATTCTTTGGTTTTAAGCTGAAACACTGAAAGAATAATAATAGATCTATCTGTTCTCTATAGCAAAGGACTTTATTTGAGGCATAGTGAATATATCTGAAAGAACATGAGTTCTGGGTTTGAATACTAATTTGACTTTTACTATCTCACTTAGGTGTGTCACCATCTCTAAGAGTAAATTCCACTTCTGCAATAAAAGGCTAATAATACTTCCCCTATCCAAGAGAGTTACTTAGACATCTCATAGGAGAAAAGGAAGAAGTAAATAATCTATTTCTAGAAGATGGGTTAACTAGCACAACTTTTTTGAAAAGCAATTTAAAAATATGTTTCATTGGACTGGGGATGTGACTCAAGCGGTAGCGCTCGCCTGGCATGCGTGCGGCCCTGGTTCGATCCTCAGCACCACATACAAACAAAGATGTTGTGTCTGCCGAAAACTAAAAAAAATAAATATTAAAATTCTCTCTCTCTCTCTCAAAAAAAAAAATAATAATAATTTTATATATATATATATATATATGTGTGTGTGTGTGTGTGTGTGTGTGTGTGTGTGTGTGTTTCATCAATTACTTCTCAGCTTTTTGGCTAAAATCAAGTATAAAAATATGTATCAGGAGCTTTAAAAATGTTTCTGACTTTTGATCCAGTAATTTTATCTCTAGGATTCCTAACTAAAGAAACAATGAACACAACAGGCTATTAACTCAAAAATGTTTATCACAGGGTTGGGTTATGGCTCAGAGGTAGAGTGCTTGCCTAGCTCCATCCCCACCACCACATAAAAATAAATAAATAAATAAAGGTATTGTGTCTATCTACAACTGAATTTTTAAAAAAATGTTCATCACAGCATTATTTAAAACTGCAATATTGAAAATAAAGTAAATCAACCGCTATGTAAACAGTGGCACTAAATCAATCACTTCCAATTTTGAGTATGAAAACACACTAATAATTAGACACTTCTTAGCTAGGTGAGGAGGCACACATGGCTAAAATCCCAGCCTGTAATTCCAGTTACTCAGGAGGTTGAGGCAGGAGATGGCAAATTTGAGGCCAGCCCTATCTCAAAATAAAAATAGAAGATATGGGAATGCAGCTCAGTGGCAGAGTACTGCCTAGGAATCTCCAGGGCCTAAACAGGATCCCCACTACTCCAATAGCAACAACAACAACAAAAGACACTTCTGGTAATATTACCAAAATACAAAACATGTTCTGGTAATAAAAGGATAGAGATTAAAGACAACAGTGGCACATGCCTGTAATCTCAGCAGCTAAGAGGCTGAGGCAGGAGTATGCAAATTCAAAGCCAGCCTCAGCAATTTAGAGGGCTTCTAAGCAATTCAGTGAGCGGCTGTCTCAAAATAAAATAAAATGAAATAGGTCTGGGGATGTAGCTCAGTGGTTAAGCACCTTTGGGTTCAATTCCTGTTACCAAAACAACAACAAAAAAAAAACCTACAAAGACATAACCCCAAGTGCCAACCGTGTCAGTGAGTTAAAGGTTTAATTTTCTCACTTTGGTTCTGTATTTTCTTTAATGTACTGATATTTTTACAATAAAAATGACAAACTCAAGAGTTTCCCTTCTGAAGCATGGTTCTGAATATAAAACATTCAATAAAAAGATACACATTTATTCATTTACTTTTCAAAATGCAACTGGAATGTACAAATATAATGCACCAATTTAAAAATGTGGGAAAAACACAATATATGAAGAAAAATGCAAATGGAATCTACTACCACATATCCAGGCACAGAATGAAATTCAAAGTTTACAGGTTGTCTTCATTCATTTATCAATTCTAATCTGGGCATTTACAATGCATAAAAGCACAATTCTAGACACTGGGAATACAAATGTGAATGAAACAGCATCCTTACTCCCGATTCGTTTTCATTCTGTGGATCTTAGTATCTATTATTTCAGCAACTGTATAGAGGTTATGTCTCCAAGATGTTTCTAAACCTATCAGCCTACTCAAGACAAAACACTGCTTTCAAAGTTCTTTTTCCTTGGAAGCTAAGTGTTTTTTAATAGCTTAAAAAGTACCTCATGTGGTTAATTCAGAGCATGACCACATTCCTCTTTAAAAAGCTCAGGCAACAATACCACCTCCTATCTATAAGGTACTTCACAGATTAAAGCAGATTTTCCTACGTACACTTTTTCCTTCTTCTTTCAGGAGGTATTGGAGTTGAACCAAAGGCCTGGCCCTTGCTAGGCAAGTGTTCTCCCACTAAGCTATTCACCAGCCTTTTAAAAGAATTTTAGACACGGTCTTGCTTAATTGCCAAGGCTGGCCTCGAACCTGCGTTCCTCCTGCCTCAGCCTCCAGGGTAGCTTGAGGTCACGGGCATGCGCCACCACGCCCAGCTAGTCAGTAATTAGTTTAAAGCAAACTAATACAATGGGTATACAACGTTCTTTGTTGACACTCATGGATTTGGTTCGGGAACTCCAGGGGGTTAGAAAACCAGAAGGGCAGCTCCACCTGCAAAACTTAGCCAAGTGTTTCTGTGGCGGGGAAGACCCCTCCAGGGTTGGCCTCCCAAACCTTGACAGGACATCCCGAGAAATGCCTGCATCAGTTTATTAACTTGCGGTAAGCCTACTTCAGGAATTTCACAACTTTTAACCATCGCAACGCGCACAACACGGCTAGCGGATACAACTTCGTACCGAGTTTTTTCTTTTGATAAGTTAAGGACTTCAAGACAGACACCAATGCTCCCCGCTGCAGAGGGATTTAACTGGTAGGCGGCGATCGGGTTTAGCCGGCAGGAGCCAACAAACCCAGTGAGGTCGAATGCTGGGGCAGAGACCGCCCGAGGGAAAAGGAGGCCCGCAGAGGGGCCGGCTCGGCAGCTAGAGGCCGGAGCTAGGCCGGCCCTCGGCCGCGAGCATGGCGGACACTCAGGCGGGAAAAGCCCAGGCAGCCGGGCCAGGGCCGGGTGACAGGTTTATTGCCTCGGTGAGCGACCGGGGCTTCTTGTCCCCCTCCCACCCCAATTCCACCCGCGCATCCCTCCATCGCCCCCGCCGGTACCTGACACACGGAGGCGCGGAACGCCGCGTAGTCTGTGTGCTCCGCCACCTGCAGCGCCCGCTCCCCGAGCTCGGACTCCTTCTCGCGCCGGTCAAACAAGTACACCATCCTGGGGCCACCGCCTCCGCCGTCCTCCTCAGTCCCCACAGAGGGCCCGCTGGCGCCCGCCGCTGCCATGTTGAGGGAAAGGAGAAAAGACAGCGGCGCCGGTGATTGGCGCCGCGGCGCTCAGGGCCGAGATGTGGACTCCGCGCGGCGCCTTAAGCTCCAGTCCCCGGAGCGGTTCGAGCCTCAGCCCAGCGCGCTGCAGCTTCTCAGCGGCGGCGGCGGCGGCGGCGGCGGAGCCGAGCAGCCGCGGGCGCGAGGATCACCCGGGAACCGATTCAAACGCGCTCCTGCCTGTGCACACGTCACTTCCGCGACCCGACGCTCCTACGGACAAGTGGGGGCGCCGCGCGCTCCTCAAAGGGCCCGCGCCCAGCGCCCGCCGCAGCCCCAGCGAGCCTCACAGCGCGACCAGCCAGCTGGGCCGCCGCCGGGACTGTGGCGGAGGAAGAAGAGCGGCGGCGGGAAGGAGGCGGGGCGAATCCAGCAGGCCGCGCGGGGCGGGGCGGGGCTTCGGCGCTCTCGCCAGGGGCCCGCCCCTTTCGCCCTGGCAAAGTTGCAGCGGAGCACGGAGGTGGCGGGCTCCTGCTCCTTGTGGGGGGTCTTCTCAAAAACTGAGGCGGGAGATCTGGCCCCGGGACTGTCTCCCGAGAACCTGTATTTTCCAGGACCGGAGGGTCCTGGTGCCTCCCAGCCTCGTCATTAGGCCTCGGGCTCCAGCTGGACCGCGCCGGCGCTCCTGGAGCTGCGACCGCACTCTGCGGCTGGGGCGCGTGGATGCGGCGGCGGGAAGCCTCAAGCCCGCCGGCTTCGCGGGGTGGAACAGGTCCCCACGCGAAGAAAACTACCGCCAGGAGACCTGGCGCCGCTTTTCTCGCCTCATTCCCATATAGTTCTAGTGGACTCTACTGAGGGACTCTTGAGACAAAGCGGGCCTTAGGAGAAAGAATCGAGGTTATGTGATGTCACGTGACTCATCGCGGCGCCCTCAGGGTGTCCGGGGCCGTGGCCAGCGTTCCTGGCCGAGTGTCCCCAGCGTCCGAACCTTCCCACTACACGCACCTGCCCACCGCCGCCATGTTGCCTCCACTATAAGTGGAACCCACGCCTGAGTTCCTGGGATTCAATTAGGTGTTCATAAAATGCTTACTGTGCAGCACACTTCAGTAAAAGCCATTAACGTCTTTGGGGAGCGTATTTCATTAATTATACTGATAGCGAGTATGTAGTGCCCTAACTCAGTAAAAAAAAAAAAGTCCTTGGAGGACTGGATTTATTCCCCAATACTTAAGCATATTTATTGTATATTTTGGACTTGGAGAGTGACAGGTTAGATTCACGAAGCCCAAAGTAGCAGATTAGGGCTTGTACAGATTTCCAAAACTTTGGATAATATTTCAGTTTTATTAGGATTGCCAAAACCATATTATCTTAGAGACCTACTGATGAAGTTAGTACATGTTATAAACATGTTGGGTTGTTGATATGAAGATGTTCCAAGGTGGGAAAATATAATTGATTAGACTTAATAAGATATTACAGGTAGAATATGCAATTGGAATAGCCTAGTCTGGGGCTGTAGCTCAGTGGCCGAGCGCTTGCCTACATATGTGAGACACTGGGTTCATCCCTAGCACCACATAAAAATACATAAAATAAAGGCATTCTGTCCATCTACAACTACAAACTAATTAATAATAATAAAAGAATAGCCTATAGATTTTGTAGTGGACAAACTACTGGACCGAGGTGGGGTGAATGGGAAGGTAGAATGAGGAAATTTAGAAATGCTGGCGATAATTAAAAACCTGAAGAAAATTTTAGATTGTTCAGAGTTAATTAAAGCCACCTCCTCCTCCACTGAAGCTTGTCTTGAACCCAGGGCCTCTCAAATGCTAGGCAAGCCGCTCTGCCACTGAGCCACAAACCCAGCCCTTGAAACATTTCTTAATCCTAAAAAGATGGTACAAAAAGAAAATCTTTATCTGACAATGGATCTGATGACAGCAAATCAAAGAGATGCTGCTGAGAAACCAAGATGCTTTGCCAGAGATGTTGATCCTGGACAAAGAATTGTTGTCTCTTGTTCAGGCTGTAGTGGAAAGAGTCGAATGAGTCTTCCCCCTCTACTCTCTTCCCCCTTTACCCTCTCCTTTTTAATGCCTCACAATAGGGGTTAAATTCCAGCATCAGAAGGGATGAATATTCAAACGTTCAAATCACAGCATCCCCTCAAATAAAAATACCTAGAAATGAATGCTGTTCTGATACTGAGGAGGATCCTTTGAGCTCAGAAGTGCAAAGTCAACATAGCCAGACCTCATTTCAAAAAAGAAAAAGAAAATTGATTTTAAAAATATATTTTTTTTTCTATTTTATTTTTTCGAATTCTTTCTGGAAAGGTAAGAACAATCCTAGTGGCACATGACTGCAGTCACTTCCAACTAAAATACTTTCTGTGATATAACCTGTGACTCTCCAATCTTCTGACCTGGTAAAGAACATTTTGGAATTTCTTCTGTTACAGTTTTAACAAGTCTCATGCTCTGGGTGGGGGCTATTGGGATAGGTTCATTCATATCTACTTGTCCTCTTGAGATCTGGAGTCTTCCTATTAATCACTTGCAAGTTTTTTTTTTTCTTTTTTTTTTTTTTTTTCCCCTTTTGGTACCAGGATTAAACTCAGGGGCACTCTACCACTGAGCCACATCCCCAGCCCTATTTTGTATTTTATTTAGAGGCAGGGTCTAACTGAGTTGCTTAGCACCTTGACATTGCTGAGGCTGGCTTTGAACTGAGATTCTCCTGTCTCAGCCTCTATAACTGCTGGGATTAAAGGCATGCACCACTGTGCCCGGCTGCAAGATTTTTTTAAAATCTCATCTGCCAGGATGTACTATAGAACTCTTTGAGGGGGAAGGACCATCTCTTCCTTCCTATCTATAGGGAATCAATCTCTCTCTCTCTCTCTCTCTCTCTCTCTCTCTCTCTCTCTCTCTCTCTCTTTAATCTAGATAAAATCTTTCTCCTTTCCTTCCCTGCCCCCCTTGATTCTGGGACTGGAACCCAGGTCTTCACATATACTAAGCATGTGCTCTACCACTGAATTATGTCCCAGTCCCTCCTTTCCTCTTTCTTTTAGGCACCCTATAAATATCTATAAACCTTTTCTCTTTTTCATTTTCTCTCCCAAACCCTCTGCAATTGCCTGGAGGCTTAGGCTTTGGGAGAAAAAAAAAAAATGTTCCCAGCAGGATACATCTTTTCTACTGGCAGCCTTCTTTCAGTTTTGAATTGCTGTATAACAAACTATCTCTAAACCTAGTAGCCTAAAACAAAACACCTAATGACTTTCACACTTCTACTGTTAAAAGCAGGTCATGGGGTCACTGGGTTGTGGCTCAGCAGTAGAGCGCTTCCCTAGCACGTGCGAGGGCCTGGGTTTGATCCTCAGCACCACATAAAAATAAATTTAAAAATAAAGGTATTGTGTCCAACTACAACTAAAAAATAAATATTAAAAAAAATATATGGCAGGCCATGGGGCCATCTCAGAGTGAAGCAATAGGGACTACTCAAAGACAGGAACACAAAGGGCATGATTATTTGGGAACACCAAAGTAATAGTATGACAAAGTCTGGGACAAGAAAGCATAGGGTATACTGTTTTCTTGAATTGAGATGGAGAGTTGGTGAGCCTCAGACACACTAGGTACATTCTGTCCCACTGAGCTACATCCCCATCCTGAATTTTTTTTTTTCATATGTGAAAAGTGATACTAGAGGACTGGGGTTGTGGCTCAAAGGTAGAGCGCTCACCTGGCATGCATGAGGCACTGGGTTTGATCCTCAGCACTATATAAAAATAAAATAAAGATATTGTGTCCCCCTATAACTAAAAAATAAATGTTTAAAAAGATGATACTAGAACTTATTGAATTCTTCAATTGCCAGACCTCTACCAAAACTTTACATTTTCTTGTTTAGTCTATTTTTACATTTTTATATTTATTTAATGAAATATTTCATTCATACAAGAGTATACATAGTCTAATTATCCATTAAATTACAAAGATGTGTAGCCACCACTCAAGAAATACAGCAATGCCCCTCCTAAAATGACATCTAACCACTACCAAGGTAATCTCTATTCTGAAATTTGCAGGTATTTGTTTTCAGTTTTCCTTCTTTTATAATAGATTATGTAGTTTTTGAAAGTTTTTGAACTTTATATACATGCATACATTCTTCTGCACCTGCTATGTTTGCTCAACATATTTGTGAAATTCAATCACATTGATGCATGTAGCTATAGTTCATTTTTTTAAAATATTTTTTAGTTATAGATGGATGCAATATCTTTATTTTGTTTATTTATTTTTATGTGATGCTGAGGATCGAACGCAACGCCTCACATGTGTGAGGCAAGCATTCTTCCACTGAGCCACAACCCCATCCCTAGTTCATTCTTTTTAATAATTATTTTTACTGCAAAACATGCTTCTTGATAGGAGTATATCACAATTTTCTCATTCTCCCATTAATGAACATTTTGTTTCTGGTTTGTTTTGTTTTGTTTCAGCAATGGGACTTGAACCCATGGCCACACACACATTAGGCAAGTGATTTACTACTGAGCTATACTCCCAACCTATTTTTGCTTTTTTAAAAATAAGACTTCATTGAATATTTGTGTGTTGTATCCCAATGGTCTTTTGCAATGGGTGTATTATGTAAGCTATATATCAAGTGTCATGGAGGATGCCTATTTATAAATTTACTACATAATAACAAATTATTTTTCTAGCACTACGGAGGAGTTACTTTTCCATTTCCTTGTCAATGCTTAAGAGTGTTTTACTTCGTAATATTTTTGTCAGTCTAGCAGATATGAATAGTGTTTCAGCATGATTGTAATTTGCATGTCCCTCATCAAAAATGAGATTGAGCATCTTTTCATATGCTTATTTTCTTCTTGTGTTTCCTCTTCTATGAAATGCCTGTGCATGGCCTGTGTCTATTTTTCAATGGAATCATTTGACTTTTCTTACTGATTTTTATGAGTTCTCTTTCTATATTGTGGATGCTAATATTTTGTTGATTATGCATCTTTATAACATTTTTATTAGTTTGTGATTTGTAGTTTCCCTTTATGAGAACTTTTAATAAATAGTAGTTCTTGATATTAATATGGTCAAATTTGTCAAATTGTTTCCATTATGATTTGTGCTTTTTGTTCTCTTTTAAAGAATTTCTGTACTAGCAAAGTATTCTCAAATA